GGCTTCTGTAAAGAAGATAGCATTTCTTTTTTAACAAACCCCATGGGGCAGTTCTGTTCTGTCACGTGGGGTAACTAGGGGTCAGAGTCTACTCAAGGGCACATGGTATCAACAGCAACATATGGCAGACTTAGATGCCCCTTGAAGGCTAGCAAGGGCAGATATGTTTGCTTTTAACCTTTCTATATTCATCTCTTAAAGCTGTTTGGCTCTGGGTTGGTGATATGTGGGTAAATAGACCCTTTAATCCATTGTTGGCCTCAGTAATGACTAATTTGGCAATGACTGCAAATTTAACATGCATGTTTCCTTTGACTTATTGATTCATTTCAAGAAATTAATTTGACTTAAATGCTAACACTTGCAGATCACATATATAAGGAAATTTATTGCCTCTTGTAATAGCAAAAGATTGGGAACATCTTAGGAATAAGTGACTTTATAATAAGTTAAAGGTGAAAGATTTATACGATTTGAAGAGAAACCAGAGTATATAATAAGTTATAAGTAATAACTAAACCATGGATTTTCCAGCCATGCAGCTGTTAAAGTGAAGCAGCGTTATATATTAATATGGAGCTATATCCAAGATGTATTGTTAGGTGGAAAAGTAAGGTACATAGCAGCCTATTTCGTCAGCTATTTATATAGAAAAGAATAGTTTATATGTAGACACACACACACACACACACACACACACACACACACACAAAACGTCTAGACTAGTGTAGACAATGTCAGGAAGCATGCCCGAAGCTGGCTGCCTCAAGGAAGGGATGGATGAAGGGCTGGGACGGTTGAGAGTCTTCATTGTAGTGTTATACCCCCGTGTACCGAGAAAATAGAATGAAATGTTAAAATATGATTATAATAAACATATGTAAATAAATTAGATGTTGTGCCTTTTGTTTTACCTTTGATCTCAAATACATATAGATTATTACTGTTGCAGTAGCATCCCAGACAAAAAGATTTTTACGATTTCTGTAATCCTTGTTTGACACAAGGAGCCCTGGTACTGTAGTGGTTATGTACTGGAAGGTTAACCCCAAGTCAGCAGTTTGAAAACCACTATCTGTTCCTCAAGGGAAAGTTGAGGCTTTCTATTCTCATAAAGAATTAGTCTTGGAACCCCACAGGGGTAGTTCTGCCTTGTGCTATAGGCTCCCTATGAGTCCCCATCGACTTCAGTGGCAGTGAATTGTTCAATATGGAGATTACTGTGTTCTAATTGTGCTACACAAAATCTTTAAAATCTAGCAGTTGTAAAGCTGAGACTTTATTATTTTTCAATTGGAGATATGTTAGCACATGGTAATAACCTTTTTGTCTCAGATAGTACTCACTATCCGGTAAGTGTGCTAGCTTCAAGATTGGGAGTTCAAACCCATCAGCTGCCCCATAGGAGAAAGGTCAGGCTTTCTGCTCCTATAAAGATGATATAGCCTCAGAAACTCTTTATAATATTGTTAAGATTTGGAGAGAAAATGTTTTGAGAATGATGTACAAATGCGCTTTACACAATTGATGTGTGTATGGATTGCGATAACAGTTGTATGAGCCCCTAATAAAATGTTTAAAAAAATATATTGTTAAGATTTAGAATCAACTCAGTGGCAGTGGTGTTTTCTTTGTGGCTAATTTAACAAATTTCTATCCTCCATTTATAAAAAAGTTCTTTTAAGATATATACGAAATTCAGTACAAATGGTAAATAGCTTATTCCACTTAATAAAAGGATGAGAGCTCTGGCTTTTACATGCCTTTTTAATGGAGAGAATCACTTCTGCTGTATAGAACTGCAGGGAAAGAAATTCCATAACCTTAATTTTTTTTCTTGCATAATTTTTAATGAGTATGTCTTTTGATGTTGATTCCCCCATTTTGGGTTGATTTTATACTTTGCAGATCTGTAGGCTGTGTTTTCAGCATAATACCCCATTGGATGCAATTGCTCAGTTTCGAAAACATATTGATTTGTGTAAAAAAAAGATTGGAAGTGCTGAGTTGTCTTTTGAGCATGCTGCATGGATGTCTAAACAGTATGTATTGAACTATACTTTTAGAATGTTTATTAAAAAATAGCATGTAGTATTGGAGAAATGAACTTAGCATGGACTTTGGTGCTAAATACAGGAGGCCTGGTTTATGATTTGGGCTGTTTACCACAAGGTCAGCAATTCAAAGTCACCAGCTGCTCTGCAGGAAAGAGATGAGGCTTTCTACTCCTGCAAAGATTTATGGTCTCAAAACCTGCAGGGAAGTTCTACCCTGCCCTGTATAGGCTTGCTAGGAGTTGGAAGGGACTTGATGGCAGTGTGTTTTTGGTGCCAAATTGAATTGTTTTGTCAGTAGTTAGGTTTTTAGTGATCTGGTAATCGTAGACATTGACTTATACTTTTACTTTCTGGAACTATGTTAATTTATGGAACCATCTCTTTTATTTAGCATGTATTTGTTGGGTTTCTACCATGTATCCTGGGACTGAAAGCATAGCAGTTTATAAAACAAAATCTTTGCTGCCGTAGAGCTTAGTGTCTGAGACTGATGTTTAAAAACTGCTAACATGCAGATAGTGGGACAGAAGGAAAGTCAAGGGAAATAGAGGAAAGAGCTGGGAGGCAAAGGGCATTTATAGAAGTCTAGATTAAGACATGTACATATGTAAATATATTTATATATGAGGATAGGGAAATAGATCTATGTGCCTATATTTATAGGTTTAGTATTAA